GTATCTTTTTACTTGGGACTTATTTAAAGCTCAATCTGAGTAGAAGTTTGCAAAATACTCTCTACATGCAAAGTGAAAAAGCACTCTGAAGGTTTCTTTAAGTGGCATCAGTAAAGCACCAATTCCAATTTCATTATGCAGAAACACTGACATATTCCATCTGGGTCATCAAATTGTTTAAACTGTCCAATAAGGACTAATGATGGTGCCACACCAAAAGATTAGCATGCCACATTGCAGTGGTGATTCATATTAAGCATTTTCTTAGTATGCATGGCTGAGTCCCAGATATCTTATCTCAAAATGCCACTGCCTGCTTTTTGGAAGAAAATTAAATATATTATTGCAGCATTATGGAAGTGCTGTGAGGCAAAAAACTGAATAATAAAAAGGTGTTTTTCAAAGGCAAGATAATTTATGACTACTACTTCAAGTCAACAATCATGGAATTGTATTATGCTGCAATTACCAAACCCTGGCAGAGGCCATCCAGAGGCACAGTCACAGACTGCGGAACTGCTCTTGAGTCCTGCAAAAAGTTTATGTGGGAGTGTGCAAATGAAGTGTAAATAAATGCATCCTATACAACTAACATTTAGGAAATATGAAAATTCTGCCAGGCTGCGCAATTCTTCATGTTGGTTGGCAGCATCCATTTAACAATTATTACAATGGTTATTACTCAGCACTTGAACATCTTATTCTACTCAAAATCTAGGGGTTTATGTCACATTATGCGTCAGTAGGAATGTCCAGAATCCTAAAGATGTGGCCTGTTGGCAAGAGCAGCCTTACTAACAACACATGGAGTTCTAGAAGTCCAAGTGCCTTTGTCCTATCTTCCTGTTATTCAAAAGCAGATGTTACTTTTCTCAGCTCTTCCAGAAAAACATCAGCTTACCGAATTGCAGTTAATGATAGACTTAATTTTTATATTGCAAATGAGCAAAAGTCATATTTCCCCAATCATGCTTTGTTTTTCAAAAAAGGCTTTTCTCTTTTAAGTTGGAAATTCTTCATATTCTCACCATGCTGAGCTAGCACTGTGTCATATAAAACCAGCAGACCCAATGCCATATGCTCTATGCTAAAAGAAGCAGCCTATAAGTGGACGTCTTTTCCTGCCACAGAGCACAAATCTGTGCTCTTTAGCAGATGAGAGAGAAGTCCCCACACAACAGTTATTATAATAAGTACATGCTTCCAGTGGTAACAATCACTGGAGTATTTTTCAACATGTCACCTCTAAAAGAACACTTCAGAACAGTTCAATATTTGGTGGGAAGTCCACAGTGATGCACACATTCCAACAGGAGCAGGACTACTCATGCATCTTCCACATCAGCAATTCTATTCCACGTGGCCAACATATTAGACATAGACCTGTGATAGTCAGAGATTTTTCCACTGAAAAAACAATGTTATATTACAGCATATGATCACCAGAAGCTCTCATCTTAACAGATCAGCAGGTTAGGATCCAAGTGTATAACACCGACTTGTGCCAGTACCTGCTGGATATTTACACAACAGAAGAAATTTTGGCATCTGTTAAACCAGACAAAAAAAATAAACAAGTTGAATTAAGTTCACCAAAACCAGCATTTTTGGTGTCTCTTATCTGGGTGTTGGTTGGCACCCATTCACCACAAGAACTGAGTGGCAATACCCACATCTTGCTGCTGGTGAGCTCAAAGGTTTCCTGATTCAACACAGTTTTCCAAAAGGTACAAAGAAACTTTTTTATACTCAGACCACAGTAAATTATAGAGTACTTGACTTCTCCATTAGCACTGTGAATAAATATGAAATAAATATTATTACTATGTGAAGACTGTTGAATGCTCTCTAAAATTATACCAAGTGATTGACCAAATATTACCAGGTTGCACCTATACCCCACATCCTGCCCCCTGCAGGATGAACAGCATCCACAAGAGCTGAGATTTTAATGCAATAAAACATGTAATTCTGAGGGACTGCTCTTGTACTTAAAGCTGAGTATGTGCTTGAGTGTTATTTGGATCAGGGCCTATCTTTTTGGAGAAAATAAATTAAGAAGCAGCCTAAACCAGCTTTAATCCTCAGGGTATACATCTGAAGATATGAGGATCATGAAGAGCTGTTTGTGCAGCAAGTGCTGGAAGGACAAAATCCTTTTTCCTGTAATGCCAGAGTAGTATCTCTCGCACTCTTGAATGATTCCTTTTTGGGTACTGCCATGGGCATTTAACTTGGATCCGCTTCACCCAGTGTGGGAATCAAATGTTGTTTCTGCATTAGAATAAGATATGAATTTTTATTTCATGGTCTCCACTGCCATAGTTCTACTTTACTTAGAGGGGGAGGATCTCTGATAGTTTGCATCCCCTGTCCTCTAGATGAAACTCCCTCAGGAATGCATGTTCAGTATATACATGAAGTAATTTATAATCATAGAGATTAAGTAGCAGGTTATGGGCACAAAGACTGCAGCTCCTGTCTGTCCAGCCTTCTGAAATACCTCTGAGCCTTACTAATATTTGGCACTGGGCAGGCAGGACCCGAGTAATGGAAAATTTAAGAAAGAGAAGATAAATAATTAGCAATAAACTTGTATAGCTAGCAACAACTTGTGTCTAGTCAGCATGAATATATATGTAATATTTTGTCACACACACTGCAAGAATATCCTGCACGAGACTGATCAAACCAGAAAACAAGTCATGACATGACCAAGGAGGCACCTGAGCAGCATTGGGAAGGCCTGGCATCACCCCCCTTGGTGCTCTTTGTTTAACGAAGGAAGCGGCCTTGGGACAGAATGGAAGAAGCCTTGGAGAGATCCACCATATCAATGTGATAAGGAAAGTACTGAGGCATCTTGGAAACAGCAGGATAGTGACTGACTAGCACAAGATAGCACATGAATCAACAAGCTTTAGAATGTAATTAATAAATGTAAGTCTTTGGTAGGATTGTGAATCTGGAGTACTCAGCCAATGGGAAAACAGGGGAGGGGATAGACATAGGGGACACAAGGCACAAAAGCTGTACCTACTGCATCCATAGGTGCACTCCTGCCTGTGAGATTAAGTACTGTTTGTGGCTATGACAGCTGGACTAGATGACCTTAGCTGTCTTTTCCAACTTTATTCTATGATTCTATGAACGCTTCTTATTAAACTGGAGTATCAGGAAAAGATTAATTATATCAGCATATTTTGATTACTGACTAAATCAAGAACTGGGTACTCATAGACAGAAATTCACTATACATTGTCGGGAACTGACTGATGTCCAGGCTGAAGTAGCACTGAATGTAAAGAGGAAATGATAGAAGTATCTTGCCTTGCACATGTGAAACAGAAATGTTTCTGTACAGCTCTTCTTTAATTTAAGTAAAAGCGAGAGGACAGTTAGCTTTGCAAAACACTATATTCTGTACACTGAAAAGAACTTTGCAGTGTAGAATCCCCTCTTTTTTTTTTTTTTTTTTTTTTTTTTTTT